GCATATGATATCAAAAGCAAAACTAGATATGTAGGACTATTTCAAGCCAAAAAGGTTTTGCACAACAAGGAAAATAATCATCATAGTGGAAAATAAACTTGCAGAATGTATCTTTAATATAAAGTTCATTTCATAAATGTATAATGATATTCTATAAGTCAATAACAAAAAAACACCCTAATTTTATGAAGTGGAAAGGACTCAAATAGACATTTCTCTAAAGAAGATATACAAATAGCTAACAGGTATATATGAAAAGGTGCTCACTGTAACTAAACATCAGGGAAATGCTATTCAAAATCATGAGCTATTAAAAAGAAGAAGACAAGTGTTAAAGAGGATGCATAGAGATTGGAATCCTTTTACTAGTGGGAATGCAAAAGGTGCAGCCACCAGGATATAGAGCATGAAGTTTCCTAAAAATCATGAAAATACTCAGGCAATTCATTTATGGGTATTTATCCAAAAGACTTGAGAGCAGGATCTCAGGAGAGAATAGTACCCCTGTGTTCGCTGCAGCACAATTAAAAATAGCCCAGAGAAGCAAACAACCTAAATATCCAGTGAGGGATGAATGGGTAAAGAAAATGTGGTATGGACATGCAATGGGATATTGCTCAGCCTCAGAGCAATATCCTTATGGTACCATATGAATTAACCTTGAGGGCATTATGCAAAGTCAGATTTTCTAGTCAGAGGACAAGGACAGCATGACCCAGCCTATCAGTACAGAAAAATAGCAGAACTTATAGAAGCAGAATTTATAGAGAGGAGGATGGGCTTGCAGGCGCTGAGCAGAAGGCCAGCAAGGCCAGGCTGTGCTTCATGGGGTATGAAGTTTGAAGGGCACGAGGTGAATGCCCTGCAGAGATCTATATGATATCAGCTGTGTTGATTATTGTATTGTACATTTAAAAATTTGGTAAGAGGGTAGATCTCATGTCACATGATCAACCACAGTTCAATTAATCCACTTTAGAAAACTTGATGAATTGTGGAGGTGGTAAGACACAATTGCAGAGAGAATCAGTGAATTGGACACTAAGAGGGAATCAGCCAGCATATGACATGGAGAGATTAAAGAGAGGGAAAAAAGAGATAAAATATCCCTAAACATGCAGAACAGAATATGAATATCAAACAAACTTAACAACACCTAAAGGAAATGATGGAGTAAATGGAGGTGAGGCGAGATTTAAAAAGTGATAACTAACGATTCTTCAGAATGGATGAATGGCTAGACGTGTTACATTGAAGAAGCACATTGAGCTCCAGCAAGAAAAGTAAAATGTGGTACATGTTTTGAAACAGGAGAGCACAATTGACCAATTCCAAACGCAGAAAGAAAGTGTGAAGAGCAGAGAGGAAAGACATACAATCTACAGGAGAAACACCACAGGACTGATGTCGGACACCCATGGTTGGGGGGCTGGGGGGAGGGCATCAAAAGTGATGGAGTAGAGTCTCCATTTGACTAAGCACTCTACAGTCAGATACAGTGAAAGAACCAGAAAATAATGGAAATTATCCTCAAATGGCCGAGGACTCTGTCATCAACTGAAATACCCTGTAAACACAAAGACAGACTGAGTCATTATGGCACACACTGAGTCTACCCAACTTAAGAAGCTCACTAGTGAAGAAAAGAAAGGATGCCCTTGAAAATAAATATGTGCTCAGAAGGAAGGACTGACACACAGGGAGCAAACAGGTTCACATTTGGGTAAATCTCACAGGCACTAACTGTAAAAATGATAATAATAGTAATGCAGACTACATTGTGGGTGTTTTAAAAAGAAAAAAGATACAAGGACCTGGGTTCAAACCCTGCATTACAAAAAAAGAAGAGAGAAATGAAATAATATTTCATAAAGAGTGACATGAAAAATGAAAGATTAAACATATAAGTATCTTATGTTTGTATTTTATATGTATTTTTATTTTGTGGTTAAAAACTTAAATATTTTATGTTAATGTATTTAACAACTACATTCAAACAAGTAGATGAGAAAAAAAAAAGGAAATTTAAAAATCAAGGCCATTAAATGTAGTAAAATAGGAGGAAAAGAAAATAAATAGGTTCACAAGCAAAAATCATAAAGAAAGTAGAAAAATTTAAATACATAGAATCAGAATCGATGAAGAGAATTGAGTTTCCTTGTTATAAAATGGAAGAAAGGAAGAAAGAATTTGAGATTTGAGTTTTTGAAATCCAGATGGTGCTATTTCTAATCAAAAGGAATGTTGAAAATAAATGGAAAGTAAAGCAAAAACACATTGTTTCAGAAAAAGGTCATATTGTGCCATTAATAAGAAAGAATGATTCACCAGCAACTCAAAACACACCTGAAGCCTGGGTGAAACATTCCCTGCAAATATGATTTATACAAATATGAAAATAGAATTGTAGAGCTGAGCCATCTGAAACTGCTCTCGTTGTAGGCTAACAACCATTAAGGAACAGCAATTTCCTATGGTTCAATCTAAAACTAAGTAAATTGAAAACTTGATTAACTTAGCAGGACTTTTCAAAGACACATTTGATAGCTGGGAAGTCAGCTCAGTGGTAGAACCATGCTCAGTCTGCTCAAGGGCCTGCATTCCATCTGCCATACCAAATAGAAAGGTACCTGAAAAAAATTATTAGATCACGTGAAAAATGTTCCTAGGGAAACAGGAAACCATACAAATAGAAGAAGCTTCAGCATAAACAAAAAAATTAGAGAACACATTAAAATCTGTACATCTTAACATGCAGAAAACAGTAGTCCATAGATCACGTGCTCATGTTCTCTAATCATAGTAAACAAAAAAATGAAGTCCTTATAATTAAAAGCCAAAAGGTCCATACTTTTTAAATTCAAAAATTTATTTATATGATCTTGCATCAAAGATACAATGAGGGAACTCAAAAAATATTGGAACTACAAGATAATGAAAACACTTCATCAAAACTTATGAGACGTAGCTAGATTGGTAGTTAGAAGAAATTTTATAACCTTAAATGCACATATTTGTAGGAGAATAGGAATGGAAAATTAATGTGCTACGTATTCAGCGCTATAGGTTGGGAGGAAGGTATGAGATAGGGAAAAATGCCAATCGCATTTAAAAGCATCCATATGGAAAGACTTATCATAGCTCAATGGCATTTATTCCAGAAATGTAAGGCAAGTTTAACAGGAAACTATCAGTAAATACTTTCTATGAAGAACTTGGAGCTAAGATGCACCTAGGTCTCAAGAATAAATGAATTATTTGAAGATACTATCTTTTGTCAAAGAAAATCCAAGATGGCCCACAAATGGTGACGTCTCCCAAAGAGGAACTGTTAGGTTTTATCATGGAAAGAACAAAATGAACATAAAAACCGATGACAAGCCCAGACAGATGAACACAGTGCACAGGAATTGGCAAAGCACAATTCCAGGCGGAAGTAGTCAACTGCTATCTCAACAGATGCAGAAAAAGCATTTGACAAAAGACAGCACCCCTTCATGCTCAAAACTCTAGAAAAACTAGGGATAGTAGGAACATACCTCAACATTGTAAAAGCTATCTATGCTAAACCCAAGGCCAACAGCATTCTAAATGAAGAAAAATTGAAAGCATTCTCTCTAAAAACTGGAACAAGACAGGGATGCCCTCTTCACTTCTATTCAACGTCATCCTTGAAACTCTAGCCAGAGCAATCAGAAGAAAGAAATTAAAGGGATACAAATAGGAAAAAACTCAACTATCACTATCTGCCAATGACGTGACTCTATATTTAGAATACGTAAAAACTTCCACCAGAAAACTTCTAGAACTCATTAACAAGCTCAGCAAAGTAAAAGGATATAAAATTAACACCCATAAATCAACTGCATTCCTATACATCACTGATGAATCTACTGAAAGAGATATCAGGGAAACTACCCCATTCACAATAGCCTCAAAAAAAAAGAAAAAAACTTGGGAATCAATCTAACAAAAGAACAAGAGTTGGGGATGTGACTCAGTGGTACAGTGTGTGCCTAGCATGCATGAAGCCCTGGGTTCAATCCTCAGTCACACACACACACATACACACACAGACACACACACCAGAGCAATAAGGAAGGAAATTGAAGAAGAACTTAGAAACTAGAAAGATCTCCCATGTTCTTGGATAAACAGAATTAACATTGTCAAAATAGCCACACTACCAAAAACACTATACATATTTAATGCAATTACTATTAAAATCCCAATGACAGTCTCCATAGAAATAAAAAAAAAGCGGTCTTAAAATTCATTTGGAAAAATAAGAGAACTAGAATACCCAAAGCAATCCTTAGCAAAAAAAAAAAAAGTGAAGCAGGAAGCATCATAACTTCAGACTTTCAAATATAGTACAGAACTATAGTACAAAAATGTATAAAACATGGTATTGGCACCAAAACAGACATGAAGACCAATGGTACAAAACAGAAGACACAGAGACAAACCCACATAAATACAGTCATCTCATACCAGACAAAGGCGCCCAAAACATTCACTGGAGAAAACTCAACTACAAGTGGACCAAGGACTTAGGCATTAGACCAGAGACCCTGCGCCTAATGGAACAAAAAGTATTCCCAGTTCTCCATAAATTACATCGACTGATGTTTTCCACTAAATCCCACCCTTTATGCTAAAGTTAGTCCTCAGCACAGAACTCTCTGCCTTTCCTTGCTTTGCGAAGTTCTTCTCATCAAGCTCCCTTTCACCCCAGCTTGCCATCTGAGGTTCTTTCTTACCCAACAATGGCCTCAGTTCTGTTTAACTAGCATTAAGTGCCACCTGACTGCCAGGCCTGGGCCAGGCTCTGGGGATCTTGAGATGATTAAGACCCCTCCCTGCCCCCAAGGAGCTCACAGTTAAGTTCACTGCCTGGTCCCTTATTGGCCAAGAGTCTCTCAGCTCCAGTTCGGCTGGCCATCTGCAGCTGCTGGTTCAGCCCAACCCCAGCCCCTGCCTTCTTCCTGGCCTCCTACCTGCTCCAATTCACCCTTCACGGCAGCCAAGTGTTCTTTGTCAAGCCCAATTCTCCATCATTCCTCTGCTAAAAGTCCTCCATTAGATTCTTGGCCTGACCTGAAACCAACCAAAATGAAGAAATGACGTTCAAACAAAGAAGTTTCTCTCTCTGATAAAAATCAGCCACTGAACTTTAATTCTTAGACTATTAGGAATATCTACTAAATAAATTTTGTTACAATTTAGTGGAGGAGATAAAAAACTAAAACCCACCTCTGCAGCCTGTGCACAGGGTACAGATTCTCTGGCATGCATGTCAACACTGCAATCAAGAGAACATTATCAGAATGTCCATGCCAAGCATTGAGTGTCCTTGTGCTCTCTATTCAAGAAGTGAGAGAGCCTCTACCTCCCTGTAGGTGAAATGTGGCGTGCCAGATGTGATGGCAGGTAGGCCAGGGAGGGATGATAGGTAGGTCCAGGTATGGCAGGCAGGCCAGGTAGGATGGATGGTAGGGCCAGGTGGCATGGCAGGAAGACCCAGGTGAGATGGCAGGTAGCTCAGGTGAGATGGCAGGTAGCTCAGGTGAGATGGCAGGCAGGCCAGGTGAGATGGCAGGGGTACAGGATAAATGGCTAACACACTGTTAGTCAGCTTTCTGTTGCAATAACAAGCTCCTGAGATGATCGATGAGAGGCAAGCTTCATCTTGGCCCATAGCTTGGAGGTTCTTCTCCAGGATCATGGGCCCCTTGCTGTGGGCCTGTGTGGGGTAGCACACAGGAGGAAAGCATGTCACAGAGCAAACCTGCTCACCTCGTGACCAGGAGACAGAAGAAGGATCATCAAGGGACCATCCCGTCAGCCCTTGGAGGGCTCGCCACCAGTGAACAGGGCCTCCCACTAGCCCTACTTCTAAGGGTCCTGCCACCTTCCCTGGGGACCAAACCTTCAGTGCATGGGCCTTCGGGGGATTTAAGATGAATCCTAACCACACACTGTCCCAGTTTCTCTGGAATCTTTTCTATCCAGATGAAGTTTTGTCAGAGTCTGGAGATGACATATTCCATTCAAAACCATCTCCTGCCCCTCATTCTGCCCCCTTTCCCACCTTCAGGAAAGATGTCAGTCTAGAAAGAACTGGCCCATTCATGAACAAAAGACAGCAGAGAAGACTCAGCATGGTGTCCACTTATAGACACTAAAAAGTAACAAGGTGGAAAATGAAGAAAAAAGAAGTTTTGCACTTCTCTTTATGTAAAGGAAATAATGAAAATATGTATTCTTCAAAGAACAGGTCAAAAGAGTCAAAGAAATTCACAAATAGGTAAGATAATAGAAAGGATATAAAGCTGATTAAAGTGTTGTGCAAAGTTAAGTTGAAAATAATGACAATTCCTCACCAAAAAAAAAAAACAAACCCTGTTTTATAAGCACTTAGAAGTCCAGAATGATTGCAGCTGAAAATAACCTGTAGCAACTTCAGGAAATAGCAAGGGTTGATAACATGACAAAGAAAGGGTGGTCCCTCGTGGTAGGTCTAGATGCGCCTTGGTTGATGTGAGGACAGGTCTGGAAGTCGGGTGGCACGAGAGGCCTCCACTACCTATGAGTGGTGATTTGGTGATTTTGGCCATTCCATAGTATCCAGTCAAGTCTCATAGAGCTCCGTCTTGTCTTCTCTTCCTAATTCACCCAGAAATTTACTCTGAATAACCTGTGTTCCTCATCTCCTTGTCTTTCAATGGACACAAAAGTGGGGTATTATGGCGACTCTAGGACCGAATGTCATGGCCAGGGCATTTCGTAACTTAGCTGTGAACTCTTCATTGATTACTCTGCTTACTGGAAGACAGATGGACTTTGGTCAGAAATATTATGGTCTACACCAATGTCTGGGCAATACCTGCCAATGACCTCAGTAGCCACTGAAAATAGCATTGACTATTTCCACATTCTAACCAATCATGTGCTAGCCCCTTCAGCTTTTGAAGAAGACACTGCCTGAAAAGAGTTTTCCTTGACTTAATTTGTTCTCTTAAGTAAAAGAGGACTTTCTTTAGAGTTATAAAATAAGTTTGCTTGGTTTTTTTTGGTTTGTTTTGTTTTTTTTTTTTGTTGTTGTTAGTTTGTTTGTTGTTTTTCCAAAGGAAGGCCTTAGTCAGTAAGCTTGACCAATCAATGTTTTCTCCTGTGACATTTCCTGGATTCTGAAGAAAATCATCCCCTGGTTTTGAACATCACCTTTTGACTCTGGTTCACAGACACTTTTATTGCAAAAGTATCCATGGCTTGAAATAAACCAGCTCTAGTTTATCATTAATGTTCATAGATTGTTTGTGGTCAGAAATAAGTGTTACAGATGTCATAATTTGTACATGATTTATTGAGCACCTAAGTACATGATTGTGCCTAGAAGGCAAAACCATAGTGGATAAAATTTATGAAAAGTACTCCATTACTACTGTAATTGCACAGACATTTTTATGTTCTACAAATAATTGTCTCAGCTAGAGATTGAGAATCTAAGCATAAAAGTGCATTTAAAATGGCATCACAGAGGAATAGCTAAAAATGTTCCTTTTAATTAAATTTTACACATGAATGATTGAAATTATTATATCACCTGTTTTCTGCAGAAAATGAATTGGAAAGTAAATTTCTAAAACTGTGAAGTTTCTGCTGTCAAAAGAAAATTAATCAAAGAAAAATTATCATTTAATTCAGATGACCACTTTGACTTGGTACTTACCTTAAAAAAAATAAAAAGCATTAGAATAAATATATTTTCTGAGAAAAAGGAGATTTCATTAAAGAAAAAGAATTTTTTTCCAGAATTGATTAGCTTATTATTCACACCTGAAATATTGTATTAACCCAGGAAAAATAAGAAATCAGAAGGAATGATGTAGTAGATCTATTATAGTAGACTCACAGTGAATAAAGTATCTTAGTTACTATTGGGAAACGTAGACAGATTGTAGAAAATACAGAGACTACAGAACAAGTGGGTGTTGTGAAGAGGGAGCTCTTCTGTCAGTGTCTGAAAATTTTTTGAAATCCAGAGATATCTGGAAATTTCTAAGGCTTCATGCAGCTTCCTAAGGAAATTATCTTAGAAGTTAGCTGTTCAAAGATAAAAAACTGAGATGTACTTCATTAAATCATTTCAAGGAAATAATTCTGTTCTTAATAACACATCAAAACAGGTTCTAGATGACTTAAAGTACAAGCTTGCTATTTACGCCCCACCCCAACATCTCCCCTGTGTGATCCACACTTTGCTCCTGACCCATGGGAATCCAGATTCTCATTTGAGTAGCCGCCATATACCTGAAGACTTGGAAACTGCAAGCTTTTGAAGAAATGGACAGTCTCTGGATTCCAGGAGCAGCCACACTGGAGGTCTTAATTGGTACGTCCTGTTTGCTTGATCAGAGACTCTGATTCAGGGATAGATAGGTGACTTGCATTGCAGATTCTCAGATGCACTCAGACACACTCCTTGTCACCCACCAGGCTTAACCAGAAAGCAGATAGCTCCTTCTGTGGCTGGTGGTCAACGTATTCCCACAAGCATGGCCAAACTGTGGTGAAGCTCACACCAGAGCCATGCTGCCCAGCACACTACCCACTGGCCAGTGGCTGTTGAGCACCTAAGTCCAAACTAAAATGTACTGTACACGTGATGCACACACCAGGCTTGAAGATCCGGCATCTCATAAGTCACTTTTATGCTGTTTACACATGGTATTGATAATACTTTGAAAATGTTCAATTGAAATATGATAATAACATTAATTCCACCCCTTGCATTTTGCATGTATTGTGGCTTTGGTAAATGTAACATTGCATGTTTGGCTCATACACTATTGGTGTTGGCCCACACTCTGGCCTTGGCAAAACAGGTGCTAATGATGTTCTTGATTATCCAGATCTACCAAGCCTGAAACCTGACTCACCTCTGCATTTTCTAGAGAATTGTCAGGATTTTTGCATTGTCAAGATCTTTTAAATTTATTAAATCACTCTGGGTTTATATTTTTTGTTATTTACAATCAAAATGGCTTATTTTAAAATTATTTTTTAAAATGTGCAGGCCTGTACTAAATTTCCCTTTAAAATTGTGATAATTTTCAATTAATATTACTTAACGTTTCAGAGAGCACAAAATTTTAGTGTGAGCATGTTTCTGAATTTGTATTTCAAATATCAAATATTCAGCAAGTGATAGTAAATTGTTTTTATCCTTTTGTGAATGTCATTACCATCACAACACAGTAATTACAAGTTAATTTTTATACAAAAATGACAAATACATGCCTAAAGCATGATAAAATTAATTCAAAAGTAAGAATTTCATGATTGTTAGACATGAATTGTAGACCTATATTTAATTAAAGTATGACCTTTCCCCTGGATATAACATCATGCATTTATTATGTTTTTTAAACTTATACATAAATAAATTACTGCTATAACATTACAATATCAAAGAGCATACTTAATTTTTTTAGTTTAATATGAAATATTACAGTACACTTGTATGTGTGCAAATTGTGATTAATTTCTAAAAGTTGCATATGATTAAGTGAAAATGGCTATCAATCATCACTTTATGATGGACTGCATCTTATTCCTGTCCAAAAAATTCATTGATGCATTTAATTGGCTTCATAAGCTATTCCTGAACACCAATCAAATATGACAACATAGTTACTCCACAGGGAAAAAAGGATCTATTTCCACAAGATAGATGATTCTTGCTTTTATGTAAGGTTTTTCACATGGTGTTTTTGAATACTTCAGTGGGAGATTTGTTAGATTTTTTCCATTTTCATAGACATGGATCATACAACTTAAAGAAATGCAGGTAAAATTGACTTACTGTATCTTTTGCCTAATTATAAATCCCACAGTCAGACCGTTTATTAACCATACTAATGCTAGAAATGCAATTCAAAATCTGATTCTATAAACACAAAGGCTAGTCTTCAAACTGGAAAGCATGATTTCATCCTACTCGATATAATTAAAGAACTCTCAATGTCCTTTTGATGGGATGGCAAATGACAGGCTTTGGCGACTTCCTTTCCATTATGGCTGTCACATGATGT